AGCAAGCGGATCCAGTGGAAGGTGGCCCTGCCTTGGAGCTGGAGGAGCTTCAAGGTCCCTTCCAAGCCCCAGCAGATAAGCAGAGCATTGTGCTGTGCCGACTGGATCCCTCCTCAGTGACATTCCTCATGTCATGGTGTCTTCAACTAAACGCACCCACACGTCAAACCAGCTGCAGAGCAAACAAGGAGAACATTAGAAAGAACATGAGGAAAGGTGGAAGCAAACCTCCTCCTGCAGCCCTACTGCAAATTAACCCACCAAACACCCCCCCTTCATTGCTTATAAGCCAGGGAGACCGCACAGGGCTGAGACTGGAGATCCAGATGCTGCTGGAAGAGCACCCCACCGCCGTTGATGAACACCTCACAGTGGAGAGGAGTCATCGGTGCCTGTGACCCTCAGGAGCTCTCCACGCCGGGTGGCATGAGCACGTCAACCTGGACACTGAGTTCTGCTCTGCTCACGATGGGAAGCTCGAAAGGCAGGAGGCCAGCGAGGCAGGATTGCCTTCCAGCCACCACGGAACAGCTTGGGTTGGAAAGGACCTTCAGATCACCCAGGAGCAACCCTAACGCCTCACACCAGACCACGGTGCCCAAGGTTCTGCCCACCCTGGCCTTGACCACTGCCAGGGATGGAGCATTCCCCCCTTGGTTGGGCAAGTTGTGCCAGGGCCTCACCATCCCTCACAGGGATGAACTTCTTCCTCCTGCGTAACCCGCACGAATGGAACTGCCTCGACACGTCGGAGCGAGACGACTCGGGTCTATTTTGATGTTCCTCCTTGAAACCTAAGGGGCGGCCAAAGAACCTGTGGGGAAGAGCTCGGAGAAACCCAAACAAGCCATAAACCACCAGCAAGTTCATACACGAACTCGCCCAGGCAAGTGGGTGTCTTCTGGCCCCACAGCAGCAGCAGCAGCACGAGGTGGAGCCGAAGGCGACCACAAGCAGCCTCAGCGTGGATGAAACTTGCAGCACCGGGAGCACTTCTGGGGTCCTCAACATCAGAAGGACGTGGAGCTGTTGGAGCAGGCCCCGAGGATGAGCAGGGGCTGGAGCAGCTCCCGTGTGGAGCCAGGCTGAGAACATGGGGGCTGGAGGAGAGAAGCTGCTGGAGAGCTCAGAGCAGCTTCCAGGGTCTGAAGGGTGCTCCAAGGATGCTGGAGATGGGACCTTCCTCAGGGATTGGAGTGATGGGACAAGGGGCGATGGGTTCACACTGAAACAGAGGGGATTTAGGTTGGAGATAAGGCCGAAGTTCTTTACTGTGAGGGTGGTGAGGAGGTCTAGTGTGAAGGGCTTGGAACTAGATGATCTCCAGGTCCTTTCCAAGCCAACCCATTCTATGCCCCCCCTCCCCTTCCTTGGACTATCCCCAGCTTCTTCTTGCCCTGCAAAGCCTCACGCCTGCGGGAAGAAGACGCGGAATCACCCGAACGTGTGCTCTGAACACAAAGAGGAGGGCAGGAAACGCGTGGTGCACGCGTGACGAAAGGCAGACGCCAAGCAACGTCAGCGCACGAGAGGTCACCACAACTCCACTTGGGACTCCAAGTTAGGAGTTCCTCTTGGCCAAGGTTTGTAAAGGAAACCAGGAACAGCCCAGGGATCGAGCAGCTGAGAGGGAGCTCCACCTCCTCGTGGTGGCCCTGTGCGTTGTAGCACCAGTTCCCTGATCTCTGGAGGCTTCGGGCTTTTACTCCTCCTCTACTAGTCGCGTCGGGAGGCAAAAGGCCGTGCTGCTGGTCCAGAAGAACCAGACAGGATGAGGACAGTGAGCGAAAGGCCTGCTCTTAGCTAAGGGCTTTGTGGAGCTCCAGAGCTCTCCCAGCCACCCAGGTGCATCAGCCTCCCGGCACACGCTGCACCCATGACAAAGGGGGCACCACCTCATCTCACACCAGGAAGATGGACACAGCGATGGGCAGGTTGACCCAAGAGAACCTCTTGGCATCACCGGGCCCGACGACTCCCACCTAGCAGATGGCATCCGGGTAGACGAGGGGCACTGAGGTTCTCAGTCCCGAGCCAAGCGAAGCCGTGGAGCCACAGCTCACCTTTGCTGCTCACTCGCTTGCTCCTAGTAGTAGCGGAGCACTCCAGCCCCCTCACTGATCTACCAACCACACCGCTCCAGGGAAGGGAATTCTTGCGGGATACAGCCTGGAAGAGAGGGAGGGGGGGGCTAACAAACCTTATTTTGATTGAGAGACTCATTCCTTAGTTTCTGTTTGTTCTTCTGCAATTTACTGGGCATCATCTTTCCCGTGCGGAAGTCAAAACTGCTGAGATCAACAGTGTTCCCCAGGTATCTCGCCAACTGAGGCTTGCTTCTGAACTTCTTACCACTCGGACTAAAAAGAAGAAAACACTTTAGTACGGCTGGGGAGGAAGGGGGGGGGAAGGGCACAGGAGGACACAACCTCGACGGCGTTGACAACAGGGCCCCACCGCTCGCCCAAGAGCTCCCGCGTTGCCGCCGGCGGCTTTCAAGCCCAGCCGCCCCGCGCACGGATGGCGTAGGTTTAGGGAGGTCCAACCTCCCGGCCTCGCCAGGGGCTGGCTTGGCTGTGTCAGGCTCGTTGGGTTTTAGGAGATGGCCCAGTGAGGGGGAAGTTGGGTGAGCAGGACCCCTGAAGGGCAACCCCCAGAAGCGTGAGGAGCAGGGCTGTGGGCAAGCACAGCCCACGGGAGGCCCATAGGCAAGGCTGAAGCTGGCTAACGCCAACCTCAACTCCACAGCAACTATGTCGAGGCCACCAGAGATGTGCACAGCGAGGACTTGAGGGACATCTCTACTCAGCCACTGAAGACTGGGGAGGAGCAAAGGCAGGTAAAGGAAGTGAGCAAGGAGCAAGCAGGCAGCGAGCGGAGACGGTGCAGAACGTGAAGCGGGTCCAAAGGTGCGGATGTGTATGGAGATGCCACCAGAAGAAACGACCTCAGTCGATGGGAAGTGGTTTAAACCATCTTCAGGTTGAATTCTGGAAGGAATGTGGGTTTAGATTGGAGATTAGGAACCATTTCTTCCCCAAAAGCATTGGAACGGGCTGCCCAGGGCGGTGCTGGAGTCACCAGGCCTGGAAGTGTTCCCAAACCATGTAGATGAGGCCCTTGGTGCCAGGGGTTAGTGGTGGCCTGGGCACTGCTGGGGTGAAGGTTGGACTTGATGAGCTTAAAGGGCTTTTCCAACCTGGCTGATTCCCTGAGTCTATGATTATTAGCCCAAAGTGGAGTAACATCAGCCCCATCTCCAGTTCTCCTATGGTGTATCTACCCATCTTCACATCACACAACTTCCTACCCCCTTCACGTGGAACTAGATGATCTTAAGGTCCTTTCCAACCCAATCCATTCTGCATGAAGCCACCAGCCCCCTTGGGTGAAAGCAAAGTCCTATCCAGTGCGAGAAGCCAAGGAGTAAAGTCCTCCCCACCACTGGAAGCCAAAAGAGCTCAGAGAGTTCTTCACGCTTCTCCTCCTGAAGCTTTTGGGTTTCTTCCCTTTTCCAAGT